GGACAAAGCAGGACAGGACAAAAACAGGACAGGACGCGGTTTTGATTTTTGTCCTGTCCTGCCGCCCGCCAGGACAGAGATTGTCAACAGGACAAAACAGGACAGGACGCGATTTTGATTTCTGTCCTGTACTGCCGCCCGCCAGGACAGAGCTGGCTAACAGGACAGGGCAGGACAGGACGAAAAATCTTGTCCTGTGCTCATCTCTGCTTCATATCTATACCATACTTGAAATTCAAGAGAAATGAACAAATCATTTCGAGAAATTATAATTTTTATTTATTCAAACAATGCGAGACAGCTTTTTATCTGTCGGAAACGAATATATTCCTCTTCTTTTTGCTTATCTGTCTCGATTTGACATTCAACAACAAGTTTCAATTCTAAAGCTCTCCTTGTACTCCAATACTTTTTAGTCTTCTTTTGAGATGAAGTATTCCTTTTATAAATAGATCTTGTTAACAGATCCTTCATGAGTCCATATGGAACATCTATGTTAAGTCGACCCTTATGTTCTAAATAGTAGCATACTTCTTCATCAATAAATCTTTTTCAGGTAATACTTTTACGGATATAGTCAGATTTGTAGAAACGAAGATCGATCAACTAACATGTAGTCAGTTAATAAATTTAATAACATAACATGAATATCTTACGCAATCATAGAAATAAAATTTAAGATAATGTAGGATTTTATATATAGTTTTCTTTAGTACAAATATTGATAATATATAATAATTATAAGAAAATCTTCTCAGCTATATTGAATCGCTTAATCAATGTTGGACATTCAAATCACAATGTGTAGTCGACATAAACTAATAGCTATTAGATATTCAGCTTGAAAAGAGTTACAAGATCTTAATTTGTAACATGGATACTATATGAATGCTCGTACTACGCTAAATACAGGTAGATAGACATCAGTGAATTTCTGTTTCTAAACAATACTCTTTCAGTTAAGAGAAAATAATCATGTTGTGTGGAGTTACAAAATAAAAAATCTAGAAAAAAAATATATCTTTAAAAAAAAGTGTCTTTAACAGGTTGGTACAAAGATACTATGATAAGATAAGAAGGTCACACATACAAATGAAGAAATGCAGCACAGAATTGGTCTCTTTATCTTTATACAATGAATGTTCTACCAGACTGAAGAAAAGAAAATAATACTACATCAAATTTTCATAGTCTAATAAGAAAATTGAAAGTCTATTAGAATTTTCTCTTTTCTGAATATCCAATTTATCTATAGATTTGTTGATTCTTACAGACCATAATCTGCTACATGCGAGAGAAGGAAAGAAAAATATCCGAATAAGTTGCTCACTGTGGTGTTTCTGTCTTTTTGTTCAGTTTTTGTTAGCGATATATTTACTTAAAGTCCTGATCTTTGTCGGAAAGTATCTTTAATAGTTTTCTTGTTTGATATTTGTTTCTCGATGGTTTTTTTTTACTAAGATTTTTTGCCGCTTACATACTCTTCATGGTTGACAAGTTCAAAACAACAGTGAACAACGATTATTTGTTCTAATGATTTTACTGGTTTTTCTCTTTCAACACTAGGGTGTAGTTCAACAGGATGATAGTACACACCCACACACCAGCTCGCACACATATCCATCACAATACAGTAGGCTTTCTTGCAGCAGCTGTTCGATGAAACATCTTTCAACTACTTCATTTTAAAAAAATTTCTATCATTTTTTACGAAAAATATAGAAAAAATTATTCAGAAAACTCAAAGATTATTTTTTCTTAATACTTTTATAAAAATGTATCATCAAATGATACACTTGAATATTATCATTAAAATGCTTTTTTCTTGATTCTACTTTCCCATCAAAGTTAGCTTTAGTATACTTTCATAACAAAATATTAGTTTATTTTTTTTTGTTGTTTTAATAATGAAATGCCAGTTCATTTATTTCGAATATCAGAGAACTATAAACTTCTTTCCTAGAAAATTACAATTATCTGCTATCATCTTTTATGTATTGTCTTATTAGTTGAGTTTATTCATTCAAGTACAAATTGCTCGATCAATTTCTAAAGAATCTTTCATTTAATTTTCTATACCAAAGTCAACTGATCTAAAGTCAGTGGTTACATGAAGATGATGACTTGAGTACTTTATTTCCGTAAACTGTGTTTTTAGATTAAGGTAAAAGAGTCGAGTCAGTGTATCTTTTCAATTTCATAAAATAACAGATGAATTTCTTGTTTTGAGTGGATATTTACACATCTACTAGTTTAGTGATCTTTACCTATGTAAGGTGCAGTCAAAGTATAGATATTTGAAATTGCAGCTACTTTAATTAACATTGGGTATTATCATCTTTCTAATTAAGATTCAATTGAAACTATACAAATACAATATAGAATACAAAGAGAGAAGAGAAATAGGTTTTGTTCTAAAGATGTCTGCTCTAGCTTTCTGAATTGAATAGACTTCGTTCATTTCTATCGAATTCTATCTAGTCAATTAGAAATATATTAGAGGAGACAAGCTACTATTATGGAGTGATGAGTAATGGAAACTTAATCTATTCGATTTATCCTTGATTGTTTTCCTCCCCTAAAATCATTCATAAAGCTGTCTAAGAAATCGTTAATTGTAGAAAATATGTTTTCTTTCGTAATAAAATCCAATTTACAGAATTTTCAGTTACACATTGAGATCAATTGACTGAAAAACGTTCTATCGAAAAGATAACTTTATATGATTCAATCAGAAACTATTTCAAGCATAAAACAAAAAAAAGTATGAAAAATAAAGATTACTAATTTGTAAAGAAATAAAAGTCTACTCATCAACACCAACTCAATTAATTTGCCACATTCTCATATTACATCATTCAGAGATGAGCTGATTTTATTTTTAATTCTTAAATCTAACCTGAACCGAACGGACAAAAGATTTATTTTAAAAATTCTTTTCAAAATAATTGCAACTGATAGTTTTTAAATGCAATACATTCGTTTCCTACTAAATGGTTGTCATCGAAACTCGTGCTCCAATAATAAAAAATTTTCTATAAGGAGAGATCTCTTTACATGTAGGATGTGGGTGTGGGATGTGAGTATACCAGTGACAAAAGGAAAGATATATATCAACAGCCACGCCCTCTTTTCATCCATGCATAGAACTATTGCATTACATGCATCTTACTTTCGTGTTACACCCCTTAACGTAAGCAAATATTTAATTATCTAAGTTTTCAATGCTATAATTTTTTCGCATGAGTTCATGCATAGCTTTCTTGCTAATTCAATTTTTCACTCGATCTCATAAGATTTTTTTTATGCTAACGCTCTAACCATTGTTATTCTGGATTTCTCATTGTGAAAAGGAAACCCTCTGTCTGAGTTCATTTAAAGTGTACTGTTAAAGGTAAGATAAAATTTTATTTTTCAACAATGCTGATTATAAGCTATTAACATATAATACGTTTTTATACATCATTTATGAGTTATGCACATTAGCAGGTATAAGATCAAGAGAATATAGCAAGATTTCATGATATACTATGAAAAAAAACACAAGCTTCTCTGATATATAGATAGTCAAAATTCATTTTCTAACAAACAGAGATCTAAATATATAATTTCATATAGGACGGGACTAATCAATGTTAAAATATTGGGCTACCATATTTGTAAAAAGTTCCAGAAAAAAGTTAACAAAAGCAAATGTATCTAAATTTTAGAGATCATATTTCAGCAGAATATAAGATGATTGAATTCGAATTTGGATTAATTCTTCCAAAGAACTTCGTATCAAATATCTGAAATTGGACATACATAAAAAGAATATGTATTTATCTAGCATAGGCACTATCCTAAAAATGTTATTTTTCTAGCTATATTCCTATGGATTCTGATGTCAAAACAGTTTACATTATGATATTGGATGTTGTCCTATTTTTAAGATAGTGAATAGATTTTTTTCTGCTAATATTGTTCTCATTCAATGAAGTTACCAACTAAGTACAATTCATTTTCAATAATAGTTTCAATATTAAGTTTAAAAGAAAAGCTTTTCTATCTGTCTATATTCAAATAAATATCGTTTTTCTTTATTTTAAAATATTTCAATCATTAAAATTATATTATTAAAGTTACTTTTCTTTTTTTTGTTTTTGAGTGAAATCAAGGAATGGGGACAAAGAAACATTCCGATTTCTCGCTCATTACGGTCAATGTGCAATTATGTAGTCACACTAACAGAGAATATTTATGTACTCTTGCATAAATCAATAGATTCTATTTAATTCAATTAGTTTCATTATTTGCAAAATAATCACAAAAAAGAAACATAATCAATTTTCTGTTGTGTATTCTGCATTTCTTGCAACAAAAACTACAAAACAAGAATAAAGTATAGTTCAGCGTGTGTATAGTCTTTCTTGAATAATTAAATGAAAATTCAGCTTTACAATGGAAAAAAATATCGAGTTTCAATATTTTATTAATGAATGAGAGCATTTTTTCTACCCTCATTATTCCATATACTATATCAAACTTGAAACTTGAAGACTCAATTGAATTCAAGTTTCAAGCTTGACACTTCTATATATTTCGAATGAATTCAAAATAGTTTATTTGTTGCGTCTTCGTCTTTCGCTGAATCAACATCAATAAAGTATATTTTTTAAACTACTAAGCATGTATCGTTTCTCTTCTTTTTAGCAATTATCTTTAACGTTACTAACTAAGCGAGAATGTACATTAGAAGAACACTTTATGTCCTATCGTAGAAAAAACAATTTCTTAACAAATTGTTATAAAATTTGAATAGAAAGTTGCTTTGATCCTACTATAATGTTTTATTTGTAAGTCGTACGATATTCATATGATGTTACAGCTAACTTTTATGTTTTATGGTAATATAATATGATTACCGATAGCATAACAAATTCCTATTGGAATTGAATCAATACCAAAACGATGATCACGTGATAAAACAAGTTGAAAATGAGCTGTAGCTACTTGAGATGAAATCTATTTAAATAAATACAACAAAAGAAAAAAGATAATATTAATTAAATGATTAAAATAACTTTAATTACTTACCAAATGTGATAAATAATTGGCAAGTGATGAACCAAATCGAGCATTTATATAATTTTAATTATCTTTTTGTTTCATGTTTCATTATTTCAATAGTATTTTCCTGTACATTTTCAGCTGGTACAAGTTCTAAACACTCATCTCTTACACCAATTTTTTCACGTCGATAGGTAAAAATTTCTTGTAAATGAAACGTATTTCCCCAACCACGTACAAATGATTGAGTTAATATAAAACATCGAAAGAGATTATCGAAATTCATCATTTCAATCGTACTCGAATCTTTAATATCATCCAGAGAATTGTTAATTTCATCTTCTTTTTCTTTAATCGAACAAAAAACAGGACAATACAATGCTTTAGTATTCTCAATAGTTTATAAACACACACATATATACAAAAAAAACTCTTATATGTCCTTTTTATTTTCCTAAATCAATCTCGTTAGTTTACTATGAAAACAAAGAACAATATTTTTATTGCATAGCACCAGTAATGTTAAATAATATTTGAGGACCATGTGGTAAATAGACGCTATTTCTTGATTTTGATAATTGATTTGCAATACCTTCAGCGGTTTCAATTCGTCGAAGTTCGATCAAACCTAACATGAATATTAAAACAAAGTTAGACAGGATAATAAAAGATATTCGAAAATTTACCATCACCAACTTCATCTAAAGCTTTGCCAATCAAATCAGCTGCACGAGTATCACCTTCTGCTGCAATAACATTTGCTTGACGACTTTGTTCCGTCTGTTTTTTTTTTATCAAAAAAAACAAACTCATACAAATTTTATTCTTATTGATTTACTTTTTCAACTAAAAACCGTTGTTTTCCAACATCTTGTTGTGCACCTTGTTTTAATTCAACAGCACTTGTGAATTCAGGTCTAAAACTTAAATGTGTCTAATTTAAAGAAAAAAAACAATATAATCAACTCGAGACTCTTTTTTATCGTATCTTATAATTGAAATATCATCAAGTAATAAACCAAATTGAGCAGCACGTTCTGTTAATAATTCATTATTACGTTGCGAAATAAGTGTGCGTTGTGTAATCAATTCAATAGCATCAAATTGAGACTTAGTACAACAGATTTTAAAACTTCATTAATAATCGATGATAAAACACGTTCTTCATAATCTAAACCCAAATTTGCAAAAAACTTTTTGGTGAAAGTTCAGCTCTTGGTCGATAAAGAATACGTAATGTTATATTAATTGTTTGTAAATCTAAAATAAAAATAATAAAATGTAATTTATGCATATTTCATTTATACGAAGAAAAAATAACGGAGACTTCCGGTTTTAAGTTTTATGAAGTATCCTAAGATTGATGAATGATGAGAGTGTAGAGATGTAAACCGATCAGTTGAGTCGCCATCAATGACCTCAAAATTTTTTAAGATACCTCAGCCATATACATTCATTGATGTTTTAATAGACATCGTATTTACCTTCCTTTTTTCGCGAGCTTACATTTTCCTCATGTTCACCTCTCTCCTGAAGTTGACTGTTCTCTTCTAGCTTTTATATCTTTTATTTCTGTTATTGATGGAACAGATCGTGGTCGTGTACGAATATCAAATATAATTGGTCTATGAAGCCATGAAATCATAAAAAGAGTTCCTTCTTCAATAACATCTAGTTTAACACTTCGAAAATGATCAAAAATAACATCTTGATGACCATCATCAACTAGAATATATTTAAATTTAAAGAAAACAAGTTTTTTTTAATCTTTTCATATTTACCATTATAAAGCATAGAATTAATCACACCACCAGCAATAGCTAAACCAATACCAATTCTTTTTAAAACGCTAAATTCTTCTACTGAAATAAAATATTATCTCAATATCTTACCAATATTATTAAATAAACGAGATGAATTTATTAGCAAATAGTTCCAGAAACAAAACGAAACCACATGAAAATTCTTCATATCTCTATCGATAGAAAAAGAAAATGCATCACTATTTAATCTATCTATCTACTACAATAACAAACCAATGTAATAAAATACATAGAAAATGATTAAATAACAATAAACTTTGAAAGCAAAAAAAAATACATGCATACTTTTACATAAATCGAAATCCACTTGAAAAAATATGAGCACCGTTCAGATATTGTTCACCATTGGGTTTTAATGAATTTGATGTATCACTGTTCTTTGCTACTGCAGCAGCAATTGCTTCGAATGCTGGAACAGTCTATAAAGAAATTATTTATATCATAGGAAAAAAAAATGTTTTTCAATTACTATAATTTGATTTTGTTGGAAAAAATTGTTGTGGAAATGATGCACCATCAACACGAAAATCTTCAAGATTTCTATAGTTTTTTAAAATTTCTTCAAGTTTTGAATTGATGTTTGGTTTTTGTCGAGAATATTTTAAAAATGCCCAGAATTTTTCTAAACCATATAATTGACCTAAATAGAAAAATAATTTTTGTTATTGACACTTTTCTTTTCTTTTTTTGTTTAATCTATTTTATTACCAGCTTCATGATCACAAAGAGTTTCTTGTTGAAAATCTTCAAATACATGTTGACGAAAATGTTTTTCTAGATCATATGTATAAAATCGAAATAAACATTCAACACCATATATATACATAAATAGTAATATTCAATTTTTTGCTTATTATTTTTCATAAGAAAAATGACTAAAAACGATAGAGAGTATTCATTTCCATTGACTGACCAGGAACAAGTTTAACGCGTTCTAGAAATTAGATCATTACAGAAAATAAAATGTATTTTATTTGTAAATCAACATAACTTTAGATTATAAATATTTTCTATGAAATGATAAAGTTTGGCGATTAGTGAAACTTAGTGTTTTTAATCATTGACGATTATTTTATTGCTTTTCAAATTTATCATGCAGATAAGAATGATAGTATTTATTAAAAAATCTCCATAAAAGAGTAAAATCTTTGTTTTTTTTTTGAAAATTATAGCGACAGACATATTCTCAATTATCTATTTAAATAAGAATATAAGTCTTTTTAGACTCTGATTTTTACTGGAGAGCAGTTTTCACTGTTGTTTTTAGATATGTTGACTCTTCTTTAGTCACTAAAAGACTCGTTTTTTGTACGTTCAATGTAACATGATTTCAATCTTTTTTTTACTAGTAGCTTGTTTCTCTCGAAATATTGTAAATATGTACTGAACTAATAATCTGTTTTTTCTCTACAATCAACGTTTTTTTTTACCATCAAGACATTCTTGTTTATATTTAAGATAAACTTGTTGAATAAAACCATTTTGTTGTAAAAGTGTATGAGATGAATGTTGAACCATAAAAATCATATGAATTTGAATTATTTCCATGCCAATAATGTGAATTATTGTATGATGATGAATGATTGATCATAGAAATCTTGTTGTCGAGTTCTAAATAAGTAAAACTCATTCTATACTAATAATAATTGACATTCAATTGTTTGTATTAGGAACAAAAAATAAGAGAAAATTCGTCAAAAAAAAATGAAGCAACACAAGTTATTTTTTACTATATCCATTTACCTTACCCGTATTGAACGATAAGAAAGATGATCTTATTATCTGCAATAAGTAAAGTGAAAGCAAAACGTTTAGAAATGCAGTATTTTTGACTTCTTTTCTTAACGATAATAACTACTATCCATTTCAAAATATATTGTGCTCCGTTGTTTTTTAAATAGCTTTTGATAGGAATATTACAGAGACCTGCGGTTTTTACCATTTAAAAGAGAAGATCCAAAGCAATCGAAATATATCAAAATTTCATTAGCTAATTGGATCAGTTCTTGGCGAGAATTTTGGAAGGTTTCGGATCATCTCTCTTGAATGGTGAAAGCCGAAGATCTCTATGATGTTCCTATCAAAAGTTATTCAAAAAAAAACAATGGGGCACATTATATTTTGAAATGAGAAGTAGAACAAATCAAAGAATCATTAAAACATTTTTTTTAAATTGGCATCAGCTGTTTCTAATTTTCGTTGAGCTTTTTCATAATTATCTCTTAGTTCAGTCATTGTTTGACGAACAGTTGACTTATATTAAAAATGAATCAATAAATAAGCAAATACTTGTTTATCTCTAGCTTGTTCAATAATTTTTTAAAATTGTTCAAGCCATCCTTTTCATTTTGAATCAATAAAGTCATGTATTTGAATTAAATCATCAACTGTTTGATTTAAAATCGATAAAGTACCATTTGTTCTATATGGAGAACGATAACAACATGCAACATCAATCAAACGAAATTCTTTCAGTGATTTTGATACATCCTTATCAATACTTTTATTTAACTTACAAAATCTTTATTTATTTTCCAAAGATCAGACAATACTTTACAAGAATCTGGAATATAACGAACTCGATTGTATTAATCAGGTACATCATCACTTCTATATTGATAAATATAAAAAAAACAAAATATTTTCATTTTTTATTTTCGAATTTCTTTGTTTAACCATATCGATAAATATCCTATTCGAATAAATTTATTTTCAAAACGTTTTTTATAAGAATCGATTAAATTTATTTCCTTAGAAATTTTGAATCGATAATTCGAACTATTTTATCATTATTTCATCTTATAGGACGTTTCTATCTAGCAGTTAAAAACAGATTTTCGATAAAACACATTCGAATCAGATGAAATATTAATCATTTGTTAGCGATCGTTCAGAGGAGAGAAATAAATTGTGTCAAAACTGTTCAGGTCAATATAATGTTTCTAGAATAGATTATTAAAATAATAAATAATGTTCGTTGTCAATCTTTATATATAATAAGATAATCAATATAGATTCATCTAGAAATCGATTTACATAATAAATAACGAATTTTGGACCAAATGCAAGGAGATAGTTAACTATTTAAATTAGCTTTGAAAAAACAATAATAAAGATTTAATATGAAAGTTTGGTTTTTTTAATTCTACGAATATGAAAACCATTCTTTCAATCCATTTAAATAATATAAAACGTTTGGTTAAATTTGAAAAATTCTTGTTAACAATTTGAATACTCTTCAAAACAAATGATATTTTATTTCTAAATAAAGATTTTTTTTAATGAAAAACAATAATATATAATTATTATCTTATCTCGACAATAATAACATAAAATAATTTCATTTTAAAACTATAGAAAAATTTTTAACAAAAAAAAACATTAGCAAAGGGTTAACTCAATTAAATTAAAATAAATAAATTGAATAAAATCTTATTTCTATCAATATTAGTCTAACCATTGAAATGATTTATTATATTAATATAAGATTTCATTATTTATTTAAGAGTTTTATTTATTTCAATAAATATCTTCCGTTCGTGTAATATATGTTAAATCAATCGAGTTATTTCGATTTCCATTGAAAATAATTCTTTGAATATATTATATCTTTCGAATATAATTTATCAGTTTTTATTTCCCCTCATTTCAATATTAAAAAACTATTTCATTAAATCGAAATAAACCAAACATAAATAAAGATTATAAATGAGATTTATTTTTTATTTTTAAATAGAATATATCAATTCTATATATTATTTTATTTTTGAATCTCTAATATAAATAAATCTATTAATATTATAATATAACCATATTCAATAGAATTACAATTATAATAACAAAAACAAGAGAAACATCTTATTATATAAATCGATTATTTAAAATATTAATTAAAATAAATATATATATATATATATTGAAAAAAAACTTATATAGAATAAGTTGTCTTTTTATTTAAATTAAAAAATGAAAATCTCATCCAAGAATACGCTGCAAGATTTGATCGTTGTTCGGAATTTGATCGATTATCATCAGATAAATAATTCTCATTTGCTAATCTCTCAATAAAAGAATTCTTTCTATTAAATGATGTCATGAGCACTTTTTTTTTCAATATAATAATTATATAATGAAACGACGAAAAAGAACAGAGAACCCTTCGATAATCAATTCTTTACCAAATATTCGAATATAATATAAACAGATCATTTTCTAATAGAGATATTTTATTTCTAACAGTTAACTATTTATAAAGATAACCTTTTACTTTTTTAAACAATTAACCATTTACATTGAAATAAAATCTTCTATTTTACATCGAATTATCTTTTAGTTTCATTGAGAAACTTTTTTTCGATTAAAATATTCTAATAAGATATAATATATGTAAAATCTCGTTTCGATCTTCAAAGATGAGACAACTATCAATCTCGACATTTTTTGATTAGGATTCAATATTATTCTATAGTCACAATTTTATCTCGAAAATAAAATAAAATCAGTTTACCCGATTTTCAATAAGTATGGATTCCTTATTCAATATTAAAATTTATATCTATTTGTTTGTTTTATTTCGCTTTAGACAATTGAACAATTTTCTGCTGAAACAAATCGAACAACATTTAGTATTACTTGATAAAATAATCGAAATTGAATTATGATAAGCACAAAATCGTTTTCAATCACGACGACAAACACTAAAGTTATCATGAATTCTTCGTTTTGTTTTCTATTGCTGTTTGATTAATTCTATGATAATATTAACAAAATACAACGCATTCTTCCCTTTTCTTTGAAAGAGATCGAGATAGAGAAAATTGATATTAATGTATATAAAGATAAAAAAAGTGAATTTAATTTAGGTTTTTTTTCTCTTAATCATGAAGTTGGTAAAGTCAATGCAACACCATGTTTTATTTAACGTTATTTTAACTGATTTGTTGATAAATAAATAGGCATAACAAAATTTGTTGAATGACTCGTTGTTGAAAGTATGTCACGTCGTTCACTTGTTTTATATACTGAACATTCATATGTCCCATCGGTATTTAATTCATTTGTTTTTATGTGTCATATATATATATTTTTTTTTTTTTTTTTTTTTTTTGTCTTTCTCTCGTCCATAAATCATTGTTCATGTTGTTATCATTGACGATCAATGATCAACATGTACAATTAAATATGTATATCATTTTCGACGAGAGAAAAAAAAATGATTTTTCAGCGTATATATACGAATGATTTTCTATGTAAAATCATTCAAATTTTTGAATCAAATAATAATCATTTTTCTTTTTCTCTTTTAGATTGGCCTCGATGATACAAAGTTAACCAAATCAAGATCAAGCCATACAATAAAAAAAAATGTAGGTATCAGTTTTAATTTTTTTTAATTTTTTTTAATTTTACGATCATAAGGATGGTAGGGTAAGGCCTCCTTTGATCTTTTTATTATTTTTTTATTTTATTTCAGGGAATAAACAATGAAGAAAAAGATAACATTAGGGTAAGCATCTCATTCTACTTCATTGAATAACATTGATTTAATTTTTTTCTATTCCTTTCAGCTATCAATATCATCGCGTCATCAACATCAGACACGGTAAGTAGTTTTTTTTTTTTTTTGAGATGAGAATAGGTAGTGAGTGTTAGCAGAGAGTGGGTGGGTCATGCCCATTGAGGTTAGGTCCCTGTTAGTTACAGGACTTCCGGGTAGACCCTGAAAACCCGGCCAGGAACTGTCTTGGTGTCCGTGGCACACGACCAGGCTTATTCAGACTCATTGAGATATCTTTCGCGGGGAGGGTATGAATGATATGAGTCTGTCCTGTGCGTTCATGAACGTTACGCTCGCCACGGCTCCACCAGGATGGTTCCTGGTCGCGCGCGCGAATAGAATAAGCCATTCATTTCATCAATTCGATGCGATTTATTTGAAACGAAAGGAACGCAAAAAAAATCTATCACGATGAATCTATTCGATTGAAAAACGTTGAACACGATGATTATTCTTATCGACGACATAGAGATTGCCATGTCGATCGAAGGACAAACCGATGGGATAGTGTAACTGATTTGCTTCTTGTCCTTCACCATTTCCACCCACAATGACAGTGCTCTGTTTCGCTCCTTGAGGCCAACGCATCACTCGATCATTCCGCGAGTCTACCACATAGATGGTACCCAACGTATCGACGAACAGTCCTTGAGGACGCGACAATTGTGTCAGAGCATTCCCTTGACCTTGACCTCCAGCGACGACAATTCCTTCTTTTGCACCTTTATTCCATTTCATTACACGATGATTGAAGGTGTCTGACACGTAGACAGTCTGTTGTTGATCGACAAAGATGTAGGTCGGAGCGTTGAGTTGATTGAGACCAGCACCTTTGCCATTGCCACCAGCCACTAGAGTTCCATTCTTGTCTCCTATTTGATATCGTCTTACTTCATGTTTGTCGAAGTCAGATATGTAGAGATATCTCTGATCATCCATGGCCAATCTTGCACAAGCGATGTTGTGGATAAGGATTTCTTCTTGAGTTGTA